TTTCTGTTATCAAGATAGGAAGTGAACCAGAGTAAAAGACGACCGGAAATTCCAATGTTATTAAGTTAATAGGTAAGGCCCTTATGCCGTACACGATCACACTCTTTACTGATGTCACAGAAAACTGTTCTCGGTTTTCTTTTCCAGAATCAATGGTTGAGCAAATAAATTGTATATGTAAGTCAGTTAATTTATTGTAGAGTCACCAGGAACAAATCTTGATTGTAATTGGGTAAGAATATTATTAGAATGAAGGAAATTGAATGTATGTTTGAATATGATTCTTTCAAAAACTTTATTGATAGTGCTAATAAGAGAAATAGGACGGTAGTTATTTACTAGAGAAGGATCACCGGATTTAGAAAGTGGAGAGACGTTTGCTTCTTTCAGGGGCCTTGTAATCTCAAGATCAAGTCGTCTGTTATAAATGATATTTTCTTTCACATAAAGTATTACTCCTCCGTAATTATCGATTCGATCTTTTCTTTCTGGTGGCGCATAAAGCTAAGAATAAGATCTGAAGAGGGCGTATTCACATTTAGCCATGTTTCAGAGAAAACAAGTATGTAATAGTCATTTAATTCAGCATAAAGTATATCAAGTTTTGGGGGTAAGCTTTGAACATCGTAATGAACCAAAGACAGATTTCTTGAAATATCTATATAACCGTTAAAGCTTGATGTTAAAGAGGATGTTGACATACTTCTAGAAGCTGGGCCAAGATTACGATGAACATCACCTGACCACAGTATGAGAATAGAGAAGTCCCAGTTCTGTTCCGGAAACATGTTAAATATAGATCCTTATCAAATAATTTTCACCGATAAAGCATAAATTAAATTGATATAATCTCGCTTGTATACTCAGGTCGTACGTACTTGCCGATATTCTTAACATTTTGCAAGTACCGGTAAACGCCTTTTTTTGTCCCCGGGCATATGGTAATTGAAACGTCCGTCCGTCCGCCAGTCCGCCCATCCGTCTTTCCGTACGAAGTTCATCTAAACAGCAAGTTTTTTGGTGTTTTTTTTTTAATTCTACTACCTATATTAATTGGGCGTCATACTTTACACCCTTATCATGATCTTGGCAAGTAACAAGACTATTGCTTCCATTTTTACCAAGTTACTGAATTTTTCAGCACTTCAAAAACGGATAATTGGTTAACCTTAAACGGCAAGTTGGATATTTCTTAAGTTCTATCTATACTAATAGCTTCATAATTACCACACTTACTTATTAATACCAAGTACATGATTTTGCCAAATTATATAACTGTGCCATCAATTTTTCCCCAGTTATTTCCCTTTTTATCACTTTGAAAATAGAGCCTTGTATGGTAAACCTATTCCGACAAGTTGGATTTATCTTACATTTTTCCTAATTACTTCATTTGTTAAATGATATTTTTCATATTTGGTAGGTGGATACCTTAAATGGTCCACTAATTTTTTATGGAGTAAGGGGTCCCTTAGGCAAAGGTCACTGGTGCCAAAAACACATTTAAAGATTTTTGCTCATGCAGCCTATATTTTCAAGTTCATGTCACTCATGTTAATACAAACTGCATAAGGTCCTCTTCCTTTGGGTTTAGTTAGGTGTCATTTGGGTCAAGGTCACTAATGTCAAAATATATTTTTATACTTTTACAGGTGTATAAACCTTATTCTATTGACAGATTTTTCTTGGATTGTATTTGAAAAATTATATTTTTCACAATTACAAAATGCCATGACTTTGTCAAGTTATATATGTGTGTTGACATTTTTTTACTATTTTCCGTCCTTAACTGAGTGAATTGGTAAATAGTGTTACTAACAAGAATTTAAGCCGGGGCATTACGTTCTTTTTTGTGAATTTAAGAGACTGACAAACATAAAAAATGTCATAATTATTACGATTTATGATTTATTTTTTTAATTGTTTGCATATTTTCTTTGTAAATAGCGTATATTTTAAATTCTAGCTAAAAAGTTGCATTTATTTTTATTTTACTCGATAAACTTTGACAGGTGTTGTTGTTGTTTGCTAATGCATTATGGGTTGTACATCTTCCGTTGTCAATAGCAATTGCTGTTGAAGCTTTGTTAAGTAAACAAACTGATTTAACATTATGTTTCTTCATCAAAGCAACAAACTGATTTAAATAATATTATATGTATTAATTCATCATATTTTTGTGTAAACTTTCAATGAACTTAAGCTTAGAAATGTCAATGTTCGGACATTCGGCTGACAGCGTTCTTTGTGTATGGAAATGATCGTTTCCGAACGTCAAATGATCAGGTTTCGAACGTCGAACATTGTTCAACGACCAAAAACGTACAGTTGAACATTTTTCGAACATTTTGTGTTCGTTTTCTCAGATTTGGTATAAATAGGCCAGAAAACGATCAACTTCAGTCCGATTTCATTTAACTTTCGGTAAGTACACTTTCTTGACGTTTTTTTGAACTGCTTAGAAGATTACTGTCACTGATGTGTCTGGTATTGTCGAAACGATTCTTATATCCTTTTAGGCCGTTCACATTTAGCAAAAAGCCATTTATTCGGTATTGTTTATTCATTATTTTTTTGTATCCGAAATTCGAAACGGTTTTCCGAATATCGTTGAAATGCCTTCTTTATGAAGAGTAACTATCCGTGATTATCTGCCTTGGATGTGCAATAATATGCGCAGAAAAACTACCAAAAACGTCTGTTATTATTTGTTAAAACTAAATTTTTTAGGTTTAAGTATATACATATTAGGGAAGTAAATGACCCCCTTGGGCGGGGCTAAAGCTAAGAAATTATGCATGAGAGCTCTTCTAATGGGTGTTTTCCATGTGTGTTCAACTGAGAGTCCTGGGGTCAAAATTGGCCCCGCCAGCGGGTCATTGATTTTCACCATTTATAAAAAAACTTTCCCGACCGATTTCTATCGTATTTTGAAAGACCATTGTCACTCATTTGGTTAAGGTCTGGTGTAAAGACTGAAATTAAGACCAGAGGGCCCTGGATCGCTCACCTGAGAAATAGGTTAAACGTCAAAGCCCCTTTTCACCCCAGTAAAAATAGCAAAATTAAATCATCGCAATAAAAACTGGATTTACAGTACATTTAACAAAAATGTCAGTATTTAATTCCCCCCCCCCCCCATCCCCGAATCTGCAATCCCCTTCTCCTGTGCCCTTTTACTAAGTGGGCCTATTAATCAATCATTTGTTTTCTTTGATTTTGATTTCCTTGTCGGTTACTATCATTTCTTCTGATCTATCATTTAAGTGATAAGCCTGTCTGTGCTATGCCTTGTGCCCTGTCCTGTTTTTGGCTGTTTTGGGCTCCTTGCCACTGGTTCCTGTTGCTGGATCGTGTGTGGGTTGCGTTCTTTGAACGGTGCCTTTCCTTGTTGATCTTGTTTATAATATTTTGAGCTAAAACACTTTGGCTTCATATAAAACAAGTGTGAAAATACGATTACGACAATGCTATAACACGATGACGACAGTGATATAACGTGATGGCAACAGTACGATACCGCGATGACTACATCGCGATATTATTATCGCGCTATCATATCGTAGTCATGACATCATCTCACTGTCCTCATCACATGGCCGCTGTGGGTTCGAATCCCGACAGGAACTTTGGATTCTTTCATGTGAGGAAGCTATCCAGCTAGCTTACGGAACGTCGGTGGATCTGATCAGGTGCCCATTCGTGCCTGAAATAATTCACGGAAGGGCACCTGAGGTCACCCTCCACCAGTAAAGCTGGAACGTCGCCAAATAACCTTTACTGTGTCGGTGTGACGTAAAACCCAATCAAACAAAAACAACAAATCATCACATTGTCTTCACTGCACTATCTCATTGTCGTACTGTCGTCATCGCATTATCATACTGTCGCCATCGCACAATCACATTGTCATTATCGCACTGCCGTTTTGTCATCGTCGCCATTGTCGCCATCTGGATTATAAAGAATAACCACGATGGCCCTGACGATATTCCTTATTCATTAACACATCATATCAACACTAAGTGAGATGTGAGCTAATAAAAAGATGATTTGACAAACATTTGACGTTCCTGGGAATTGAACTGTCGACCTCGATCCCCTGGAGTTTTATTTAAATAAACATGGTAGACATACACTAGAATATGTTTCATGCCAAATAGCTAAGCTCTACCTCTTTTTGATTTTCACAAGAAATATTTAAAAGTTTTTACTATATACATATTAGGAAAATCAATTTTGACCATAGGCCTTTCTATTTGACAATTTTTGTAGACATCTACTGGAAGATGTTTCGTGCCAAATATCTAAGCTCTAGCTCCTTTGGATTTTCACAAGAAGATTTTTTAGTTTTTACTATATATGTGTTACTATGTAAGGAAAATCAATGACCCCATGGGACGGGGCCATTTTTTGACCTTTGGGCTCTTTTTAAAGCCCACTTCGTAGACATCCACTTGAAGATATTTCATGTCAAATATCTAAGCTGTACCTCTTTCCGTTTCTTTACAAGATTTTTGAAGGCTCCTTTATTTAAATGCTTTCGGTTGCCATGGCAACCAGAGTTCTGTTTTGAATTTATTCCTTTGAACAACTGTGGTGAAGCATCCCTGCAAAGTTTCAAAAGATTTGGCCAAGTGGTTTAGGAGAAGTTGTTTAAAGAAAGTGATAATGCATGTATGGACGATGACCGACGGACAATGGGCATCACAAAAAAACTGACCTTTATTATTGTGACATTTTGTTCATGTTTTACAGAAGTCTATTCTTGGAAGTAAATGTGTTAAAACTTGTGATTGATATCCATTTAATAACTTTTTTTTAAGTTATCTTTTTAGTCCCCTACCGGTTTACCGGAGGGGACTTTAGGTTTAACCTCCGTCCGTCATTCCATCCGTCCGTAAGTCCGTCCACAAAACTTGATCCCGCGATTTCGCAAAAAGTACTGAAAATATTTTATGAAACATGATATATGGATAGATGGCGGTATGGAGATTCTATTTCGTCTAGAATTATTTTCGGTATTAAATGAGATTGTGCTCCGCGCATGCGCATCAGTGTGCTTCCGCCCTGTAGAATGACAGGCATTGATATTTTATAAGCGATTAAAAAATCGGGTCTAATCGTAGATTAGAATTAGAATTATTCAAGCAATAAACATTTTTTGTGTTCAGCAAACGTTGTTTGCCACTCTGATAAAGATTTGGAGTTTTCCTTTACGCGTAAAGGGTTGTTATTGACAATTTATTTTGTGTAGCGTACGTGGTACGCCGATATCATTTTAAATCGGTTCCAAATATTTGCGTACGTGGTACGCTGATCATGGCAGAAAAAGCAATTGTTGAGGAAATGAATTTGGTTGATAATGAAAGTGGTAAGAAAAGATCTAGCGCTAAAGGAAAAGCTCCAGCAGAAAAAACGAAGGAAAAGCGAGCGGTCGAACCCGTCGCGAAAACTAGTGACAATTTTAATGACACTGTCTTGGCGTTTATTAAAAACGTCCAAGTTTCGATGAAAAAACAAGATGAAAAATTGAATAAACTCGTTGATAGAATGGATGATGTTGATAGGGCCATGAATGAAGCCTATCAGTATGAAGACGAGTGTTATGATTCCTACTCCGGGGAGCCGGAGGAATATGAGGATACATGTGATAATCCGAGCAGTAAACGAAAGTTTGATGACAATAACAATTCCAGGTTTGCTCAAATGTCTAAAAAGTTTAAAACTCAAGAAATTTGTGACTCTGCTGTAGATGAGACTTTAGCTTGTAATGTGAATGAATTTTTTAAATCTGGTATTGATGAAGAAAGGTATAATGATCTCATCAAAGATGACAACAATGCAAGGCCGGAAAATTGTGACTCACTAGTAACAGTGAAAACTAATCAAATGATTTGGGATAGTCTTTCGTCTGTTGCACGTACAAATGACAGAAAGCTTCAAAATATTGAAACGTCGGTCGTTAAAGCAGCTACATTGTTGATAAAGTCTGTGAATGAAATGGCCAATAAAGAGAAAGAAGATGAAAAGTTTGGTTTTGAAATTGATAGATGTAATGAAGTGCTAGCGTTACTTGGACATGCAAACAAACAAATAAATTTGGCGAGGCGTGACTTCCTTAAGCCGGAAATTAAAGATGATTATGTACATCTTTGTAATCACAGCATGCCTTATACAAAGGAATTATTTGGTGATGACCTTTCGAAGACGGCCAAAGAAATTGAAGATATTGCCAGAATCAGCAATAAGATTAACAGGAACCGTTTTAGCAGAGGTTCTTATACATTTAGAGGTCAATTCAGGTCAAGGAGTAGGTTCAGGAGATATCCTGCTAGAGGCAGGCCATATTCACATTCGGGTGCAAGTTCTTCCACCTCACACATGTATAATTCTGATGCAAAAAACTACCAGAGACGAGGGGCAAGCAAGCCTCAACAGAAATATTAACTGAATCGGTAAGAATTAAATTTGTTGCTGGTAGATTAAAATATTATGTAAATGCATGGCGTAAATTAACAAGTGACCCTATGATTTTAGACATTGTTCAACATTGTCATATTGATTTTATTGATGAATTTTATAATCATCCCTGTAGAAATTATTCTCAGTATAATTTTAATCAGTTTGAGGCTGACATTATTGATAAGGAAATTGAAAAATTACAAGCAATGCAGGTTGTGGAAAGAGTACAATTTGAACCTGGGCAATTTGTTTCTCCAATATTTATTCGCCCAAAGTCTAATGGTGAATGTAGAATGATTTTGAATCTTAAAAAATTGAATACATATATTCCATACCATCATTTTAAGATGGACACCTTTAAAAAAGCTTTAACTTTGATAACAAAAGGCATGTATATGGCCAGTCTTGCACTTTTCAGTACCGTCCATGAACAGGCTCAATCAAACCGAGCCTGCAACATTTTCAATTTTGCCGTGTTGGGCTTTCTTTAGGGATTCTGTATTTATCTATTTTTTGATTTACGCCATGCATACTATTCTGTTCCTCTAGCAAAGGAGCAACAAAAATATTTCAGGTTTGAGTGGAAAGGTTCATTGTTTCAATTCAAATGTTTTGCCAATGGTCTTGCACCTTGCCCTAGATTGTTTACAAAATTACTAAAATGCCCACTATCTAAGTTGCGTAGTATGGGGCATATAATAACTGGTTTCATAGATGATACTTTATTAGGTGGCCAAAATTGTGAAGAATGTTCACAAAATCTTAAAGATACAGAGAAGTTGTTGACAGACCTAGGTTTTATTATAAATATAGAAAAGTCTGTTTTCATCCCTACCAAGGTTATTAAATTCTTGGGGTTTATTATAGATTCCGAAAATATGATTGTTTATCTACCACAGGGGAAAAAAGAAAATATTATACAAGAATGTGAGAAATTGATGGCATTATCATGTACAACCATAAGGCATGTTGCAAAGGTTATAGGTTTATTGGTGGCATCTTTCCCAGCAGTTGAACATGGGAAGCTTCATTATAGAAACCTTGAAATAGAAAAGTCAAAGTCATTGAAATCAAATTATGGTAATTTTGAGGCTAGAATGAATATAACTAAAGATATGAAAATTGAGTTGAACTGGTGGGTGACGCATGTCACACTCAAATCAGACATATATGTCATGGAAACCCAGTTGCTACGCTCCAAACAGATAGCAGCTTAGAAGGCTGGGGTTTTGTTTTTGAGAATGAAAAATCAGGTGGTCGCTGGACTGAAAGTGAGAAAAAATGCCATATAAATGTTTTAGAACTAATGGCTATTAAAATTTCTTTGAAGGCTCTGTTGCATAGATTTAAAAATAAGCATATACTTATTTTAAGTGATAGTTCAACAGCAGTGTGCTACATTAATAACATGGGTGGCATTAAGTCAGTTCAGTGTAATAAGATCGCAATTGAGATTTGGGACATTTGTATTAAAAATAACATTTGGATAACTTGTTCCCATATAGCCGGGGTTGATAATCAGGCTGACGAGCCTTCACGGAAATTTAATGACCAATTAGAATGGGAATTAAATACAAGAGTTTTTGAACAAATTTGTAAAAAATGGCAGCTTCCAGACATTGATTTATATGCTTCCAGATTGAATACAAAATTACCTATTTATTGTGCTTGGAAACCAGATCCAGGTGCAAAATATTTTGATGCTTTTACTCTTGACTGGGGTAAATTTGAATGCGTTTATATATTTTGTCCTTTCAGTTTAGTGAGCCGCTGCATTCAAAAGATAATAATCGACAAAGCAACAGGAATATTGATAGCTCCACTTTGGCCTACTCAGCCATGGTTTACGGCGTTAATGAGAATATTAGTGGACAAGCCTGTACTTCTACCCCATTTGGAAAATCTCTTAACATTGCCTCATTCAGCAAAAGTTCATCCACTGAAGGAAAAGTTAACATTGATTGCATGCAAGGTATCAGGGAATCCTATACAAACCAAGGCTTTTCTAGACAAGCTACCAACATCCTCATGTCAGCTTGGCGAAAATCTACCAAATGCCAATACAAAATATATATTAAACGCTGGTTTCAGTACTGCACTGAGCGGAAAATTGATCCAATTTCAGTTTCTATAAATGATGTGATTGAATTTTTGACAACACTCTACGAAAAAGGTTTAGGCTACAGTTCATTGAATACAGCTAGATCAGCATTAAGTTCTCTTGGTATAATGTTAGATACCCATCAAGCAGGTAGTCATCCACTTATTGTAAGATTTATGAAAGGTGTGTACAATAGTAGGCCATGTAAATCCAGATACACTGAGATATGGGATGTTAATCTTGTTCTTGTTTATTTGAGAACATTATCGCCTGTGAAACATTTATCGTTAAAAGATTTAACTTTTAAATTAACTATGTTGATCGCCCTTACTAATGCAGCGAGGTCACAGACTATTCAGTTATTATCTCTTGTAAATATGAAAAAATGTTGTTCAAAATACGTGATTTATTTTGATGGTCTCTTAAAGCAAAGCAGGCCAGGTTGTGAATTTTCATTTTTGGAACTTGAAGCTTATCCTCCAGATAGGAGATTATGTATATACACAGTTTTGAAAGAATATTTGAAGAGAACCAAGCAGGTTCGTAATGATAATAGACTACTTATAAGTTATATAAAGCCATACAAACAAGTATCTAAAGACACAATTAGTCGTTGGATAAGGACAGTGATGTGCCGAGCAGGTATTGACATAAAATCATTCAGTGCTCACAGTGTCCGCGCTGCAGTTACTTCAAAAGCAGACAGATTAAATGTACCTATACAAGATATAATGCAGAAAGCAGGCTGGTCAAACAGCGGAACATTTGGGAAATTCTATAAAAAGGAGATAAATAAACCAAATACTTTCATAAACAAAATATTGAAAGTGTAACATGTTTACAAGGTAAGCTTGTACAATATTATATATATATATTTTTTCCATTTCGCTTTGAAATCTCATTTAATACCGAAAATAATTCTAGACGAAATAGAATTTGAAATTAAACGAGACTTACCTTAGGAAGTTGAAGTTCAATTATAATTCTATGAGTATAGAATTATGAGGGATTAAATGCCTCCCTCCCTCCCTACAAAATATTGCATATGTTTAAACATAGAATATCTAACTTCTGTAGAAATTGGAAAAAATATGCTTTAAATACTGATGCGCATGCGCGGAGCACAATCTCATTTAATCCCTCATAATTCTATACTCATAGAATTATAATTGAACTTCAACTTCCTAAGGTAAGTCTCGTTTAATTTCAAATTATGCACGTCTTTTTCTTTTCTTCCTATGTTGAATATTCTGGTTGCTTTGGCAACAAATAGGCTGAAAATATGGCAAATTTTACACATAAACTGGATCCAGTGATAAAGCAAAAAGTACGGAAAATATTTTAATGAAACTTGATATATGGATAGATGGCAGTATGGAGATTATGTACGTCTTTTTCCTTTCTTTCTATGTTGACAGTTCTGGTTACTATGGCAACAAATAGACTGAATTTCAAGATTTATGATTCTAGTTTTTATGTTTTTTCACTATAAGTACTTTATTTCTTAAGGTATTTTCTTCAAACTGTAAATATAAGTTTCTAGGCATCAACCACAACAAATGTGATAAGGTTTAAAACTCTTGTACAAACTTTATCAGAATTTCCTCCCTTGAACTTAAAATTTTCATGAAAAAAATTTTGTTTTTTTTAACAACTTTTTTTTTGAATGTATCTACTTCAAACTTCATATATATGTTTCTTTTTATCACTCAACATTTGTGAGAAAGTTCAATACTCTAGTAAGACTATTTCCTGAATTATGCCCCTGTTGAACTTAGACTTTTTTCGAGAAATTGGTAATTTTTACTCCAACTGCTGCAATAATTATAGGATTTTCTTCAACCTCCCACATCATAATAATATGACAAGGTTTATAAATCTAGCATCCATATTTCCAGAATTATCTTCTCCTTCAACTTTGAATTTTTCTTATTCATTCTTTAAACTTTCTTTTACTTCAAATTCAAAATAAACATTCATTATCAATACCTTCATTACTAATTGTTCTTTGTTACACTCACAACATCATGTATGACGTCTTGCATCTTTATGACAAGAGTTATCTCCTTTTTAAGAATTTTGCTTTTAAAAAGGTTATATTTTGATAACAGGGATGTTTAAAAAATAATTAACTTTAAAGTGTCCTTTAGTCCGTCTGTCTGTCTGTCTGTACATAAAACCTGTTTCCTGTGATTACTTTTAAAGAACTTTTTCAACAAATTTACTAAAAATAGAAACATAAGTGAATGGCCAATGGCCCTTCAGAATGTTGCTGGGGTTCTAACCGGTAGGGGACTTATGGATTGCTTGCAATACTATGATAATTGCTTGTTTGTTAAGTTTTCAATACCGAAATAAATTTTATACCAAATTTAATGAATTTTCATGATTGTCTCCATACAGAGGGCACTGTAAATGATTTTTAAGAAGGAATCAAATTAGAAACCCACTAAGAGATAAAGAACGCAAACCGAAAAGCTGCTAGCCAAAAGCAGCAAGAGAATGAACTAAGTCCAAAAAAGGGAGGAAAAATCAAAATAGTAAATCTGAAGCAAATAAGAACTAGTGAGCTCTTAAGATGGTGAATCTATCGGTCCAAAATTGCCTAAAACAATAAATCAAACTGTATCTCAGAAATCAATCAAACGGGTGCAAGAGAGTGAACCTAGTTCAGAAAAGATAAAAACTGTTAAGAAAATGGCAATAAAGATCAAGGAAAATCAGCACACCAATTTTGAAGCTCCTAGGCCTTACCGTTCTTGATCGTTATTGATCGGAAACCGGTACCTTTGAAAGGTTGTTCTCTTGCTTCTTTGCGCACTTTGACTGAAACACTAACCCTGTTTTTACAAGAAGGCTTAGGCCCATGCTGATGAAAGTTATTACCCCTTACGAAATCACTTCCCTTCTGATCCACACTGGCATAGCACTTGCAATAAACACTTCGACTTGAGCAAAACCACAGAAATGAGTTCTGTTCTCGTTTCGTCGCATAATGATAATAAAATAGAAGAGAGATAAAGGTTATGTTAACTGAGAGTAGCTAAATTTTGTTGCTCTAAGAATTTCAATCAAAAGCATAATGAAGTGACTTTTTGAGTTTTGGATATTAGCTAAAATGTGTGTTTAAACTTATAAAGAATTGATTTTGAGGGAAATCTTTTCTTAATTACTTTCACAAGTGGAGAGAAATTGGATTTTATAAATTTGGAAAATTGAATATCTTGTATTTGAAAATAATGCTTTCAAAGATCAAATTGAAAAATTAGAAACCAAAATCATGTCACCAAATAAAGAAATAACAGAAAAACTCAAATCTCGGGAAATATTGTTAAGAGAAACCAGTTAAAAGGAAATTTTAATTAGCAATACTCAAGGAGGAATAATTTCAAAATAATAAATATAAAAGAAGATAAAGGAGAAACAACTGAGAGTCTGACAGAAAACACACTGGACATTTTAAGCTCTAAGAAAATCAATTTTTCACGATCAGAAGTCATAGCCATACATAGGATACCAGGAAGACCCCATTCTCCAAAACCAGTAATTATACGATTACTAACAAATGAAGTCACGGGTAGTAATAAAAGACAACAAACTAATAAATCATTCATATTTTATTATCATAACATTGACATTTTTATAACAGTAATGCTACAATAACTCTTCAAAAGCCATATGGAAAAGACACACAACCATCTCTCACTCTTTTATCAAATACAATCCTATTCTGTTGTTTTTTGTTGTTGTCTTTTTTTTTTTGGGGGGGGGGGGAGTGTTAAAAGTTTAGCTTGATCACGGTCTCTACATAATTTATGGTAATCTGTTACGGTTACAATTTCATTTAATGGGCTTGTGACCATGTCTTTGATTGTTTCAAAGTTTATTTTATTTTTGTTTTTAAAGTTAAGAGTTATACCCTTCACCTTGAATGAGTAATATTACCACGTTCATCTGGATCTCTTAATTGATAGGCATAACGTTTTGGGCCAATTGTCACAAATGTTTTGATTTGATTTCCAGGTATTTCGTCAGTAAGATCGCCCAAATAATCACCTAGAGAGGGAACCCAATCTCCAGATATTGAGTAAAATACGACAGAATCAGTATCCGCATACAATGCACGCGTACCTACTTTTTCTAAGTAAGAGTATTATTTGAGTCTGGCTTCAGCTGTTGTGTAAGCAGTTATGACAACATTTGTTTTCCCGGAAGGATCTACAAATTCATCCCTGTATTTCCAACGTAATTCTACCATTTCATTAGACACAAAGCTTACTGCTGTTACTTCTTCCCTGTCACTTGCTAGTTTTCAAAATAAAAGGCTGGATCATCGATAAATTCTACTTGATTTTTTGTTTAGTCTTTGACCAAACTTCCCCCAGAACGAATTGAGCATTAACTTAACCAAAGCCCGCATCCCCGGATTTTTCTCTATGCTATGGCAGTCGAGTTGTATCCCCTCATTTTCATACTACTGTTGCATGTGTATGCTTTTGTTCTTCAGTGATACACCATTTTGGCCAACCGCTTTTTTCTTGTTTGATTTTAAGAAATGTATTTACAAATTTGGTGAAGAGACCCCCTTCTTTAGTATTAGGATCATATTGAGAGATGTTTTCGAAATGCTAGACCTCATAGATTGAATTCAATATAGAACCTTTATCAATGGCATTTTTTCCTTCGTCTGTGACCGAATTACCTATAAAAGCTCTTTCTTCGTTCGTATGCAGACATTTTGTCTCTTGGTAAGTTTCAGCACATGTTTTACACAAAGAAAATACTATTTTTCCGTTT